ACCTACAATAAAATATAAATGATAATTAGTAATAAGCGTGTTTTCTCGTTAGTCTCAAATCGTTAACATATTATATTTATACGGTCTTTTTAGTCAGATACCTATTACCTATAAACTATTATACATTATTATTATTTATTAGGAAATTATAATTTATTATTGTGCGCTTTTAGGAAAACAACCAAACCCCTCGGGTGTTAAAGTTCCCGGTAGTTTGTTTGAATTATTTTTCTGTTTCAACACATGCATTAATAGATTAAAGATTTGGCATTAATAATTATGAAATATTCAAGTAGGCATTACACACATGATATATCTTTATAATACAAGTTGATGATTTTAAAAGGAAGCGTTCAGTTTAATTAAATTTTAACGTTAATAGAAATATATTTTTACATAATTTGAAGTCAGTACAATATAACTACAAAAAAACTTTTCCGAGTTGTTAGTTCAAGGAATTCGATTGGTTTACCTACCTAATAGTTTACGCAGAGACTTTTGGCTTTTGCAAAATGCTTGTATAAAAGTTAAACAAATCAGAGGGTCCTGCAGAGTTCACAATAATCTAATTAATTCTTCTTTATTCATCAGATCTGTAGATTTATTAAATTATGAAGTAGGTACCTAGGTAAATCATATTAATCATAATGATATTTTGAGTAAAATTACGTACCTATACAATATAATATCTTATCCAACAAACTTTGTTTATTTAATATCGTATACCATTGTAAATTTCCATTGCTGTTAAATTGCTCGATTGGCGTTCATTAATATATTAAAATAATAATATTATAACAAGTTACACAACATGATTCTCATCATATTCTCATCTTTTATTTGATTCGTTTTAATCTTTATTTCGGTTCGGCGCTACTATGTATTACAATATATATATGTTTATATTCCCCATAAATATTTACATAATTTGTATAGTATTATTATTTATTTATTGTACTTTACCGAATATGGTACCGTTCCACCGAATCCCAAATAAAATCTGACACTGGGTATTAGTTAAACAAAAATATTTAAAACAACAAAACTGTTTTGGAATTGTGAAACCAGCCAAAACTCATGATGATATAGCAAGGAGCTTAAAGCGATCATTATTGCGTATATTATGAGACGTAACGTGTCGGTGCTTTTGGGTCTCTTCTTTAGGAAAATTGTCACAAAGATAATATAGTATATTATATATGAGATGTACTTATTACGAGTAGTTATTATTATAAATTGTAATATAAAATCGATTGTGCCAACAGATATAAAACGAATTGACCGACGGCGTGGTTTTGTCGTTTTATAGTGTTCGCACAGGTACATACTATAAATACCGGAATAATACTTTCTCGCGCTTATACGACAGTTCACATCACAAGAGCAGCGGTGGCTGAGCGGATATAGTCAACGGGAGCATATAATATGTGATAAATCTTTGTCGCTTTATCTGCATTGCTGGCCATTGTGCGCATGGCGAATACGATGTGTAGGTATGTGCATATGGATGGGTACCGAGAAGTTTGCTCAGACGCGTGTGTCCAATTTTTCCTGTTAATCATATATCTACGATTGAATTGTATCGTTATGCCCTCACCGCGATGTTTCAAAAGAAAATGTTGCCGAGACCTACATCAGTTAAAATAAATTAATATTTCTACTATTTAACTCACAGACTTAAGTGTCGGCGCCGGTGAATAGTAATTTATTTCCACGACACACACAATTTACAACAAATTCTAAAACTATTATGCGCCAATTGTACAATAAAAATGTACTGATCGTACGTATATAATAGTTAATAAACTATGTTTTGGTACACATCGCGGCTCTGTATACAATACCATAATGGTATAATATGAAACAATAATATTCGATTTCTGAGCGTTACAAGGTGTTATAAGAAGCAATATAGTCTGCCAGATCGTTTCAGTATTTTTTTTAAGATCGTTTATCTCATAGATTTTTCACGAATATGATGTTCCCAGCTCAAATGTGTCGACGCGCGTGCAGTGCGAGTAAATCGTACGATGCAACAAAAGTTTCACTTCGACGTCAAACAATACCCATTTCGCCCTCGGAGCAAAACCTGTAATCACAATATTATATATATACGTACGGCGTTATAGACTTACCGTTGTTAAAACTATACTTGTTCGACGAGATATAATGAAAATCCTATTTGCTACGGATTTTTTTTTCCCCCAAAGAAACGGATTATACCAACAAAAAAACCAAGTTCAAAACTGCATTGTCCGAAATGTGCGGACCGTGATATAGTGTTCAATAATATCGAATCGAAGGTCGACGCGGTAGTGAAATAATGTACGTTATGATATTATATATCGTCCGATTTACACGTTATTGTATCCTTCCCACCCAAAACATTGTATTGAATCAAAGATACGATTTCGAAATTCCGAACGATTATTTAAATAACGAGTACTATATTATAGCAGATATTACTATTTTACGTAATACCTATACGTACACGCGACTTCTCTTTGCGCCGCAGATGTGAACCTGCAGCAATATGTGTGAAGAATTAATATCACATAATGTACAATAATAATACCTATCTAGGTATGTACTTAAAACTTAATATTATTAACYATAATTCTCATAAAATATCGGTATTTATTTAACCTACATTTCTGTTATTACATCGAACGGATCTGTAGTGTCCTACTCGAAAACATTTTCTTCAGATTACCAAATAGGAATATAATTCTGTATAATAATATACCTATGTATATTGTAATGACAAACATAATTTGCCGTGAAAGTCGCTATTTATTTTTTATTTTAACTATTTCTGGGAAACATATCACACTTCATTGGCGTCCGAATAATAAGGTATCTATCGACTAAAGTTTTACTCGAATAATAATTCACTTGGTTCCTACCATTGTCTTTTATTGCCAAGGTTTATAATTTTATGTGCTCTTTGTGCATGTTTGAAAACTTTCATTTACTTTTTTATTGCTGCTCTGCAGTATTTCCTTGCACAGTACAAATGTTTTAGTTTTAGGAAACGTGTATGTGGTCCAACACCTGTGTTATATTTTTCGTTCTTGTTTTATATATATGCATTATATACACACATACRCATAACTTGAAAAAATGATTATAATCTTTATATGATATTTTTAATCTTTTACAGTCCAATAATGAGCCTTAATTAAACTTAAACTTTGGCAGTAGAGGACGATAAAACCGTATCGATTTCCTTATACCTAACACTTATATATACCGAATGTAATGCATATCTTATCCGTAATTAGTTATATGCAGTCGGGATACAATAAATTTGGGTTAATCAGCATTTTTTGCGAATTAAAATTGTTTAAAGTTTGTTTCGCTAATTTTAAACCCATTAATGTGTAAAATAAATCATAGTGGAATTGAAAATACGTAAAAAATAAATTTTAACTAGGGATTTTTTAAACGAATCAAACATGCAAACAATAGTAAAGAACTCGCGGGGAATAAATAACCGAAACTACCAGCGATGTACGTGTGTAGATTACCGAATTGATGTTCGATATTACAATTCGGTCGTTGTTCGTTACTTAAGTTTACCTGTTGGCTGCAGCTGTACAAAATTTAAAAAAAAAAAAAAAAACAATGAATGAATATTACGTGTATACAATGTATACACAATACAAACACACACATGTATGTGTATTATGGTGCACAATGTTCATTGATGCGATAGTTAATTAGTAGATATCACATAATGCTTAATTAAAAGAGGTGAAACGCGCCGGGTTCCAACCCGTTGATTTCTGTAACCATACGATATTAATGATTATATTGGCGTGTGTATATGTATTATTCACAACGRTTCGTGGCTTTGTGTATTTCGCAACAAAACAGAATCGTACATGTATGTAAGATAGGTTTTTGATGTTTATTTTATTATGATGACGTGACTATGTATAGGGTGATTATTTAATTTTGTCGTCAATCKCTGACAATCTTATTCATTTTCAATTTTTATTTAAAAACTTACAAAACTATTAGAAWCTATAATTATGAAAAAATGTAGATCAGTGTCTATTTCGTTATAAAAGTAGAAACGTTTTTGTAAAATCGTATCGTTTTCGAATAAGTTATTTTGCTGGTTCGTGATAGAACAACGCATCCTGAAATGTAGTAGGATATTATTATGTTCATCTCATAATATACTTTCATTACACTTTTTAACTCCGCAAGCATATAATGTATTGTTTGAATAGTTTTATAATCAAATCATGTACCGGAGAGTTGTTAGTTATTAATTTATTACCATATAAAATTAATTTTTCTACTTATACCTCATTAGTAGTAGCATTAAAATCATAACTACTTTAATTATACTATTAAAATTAATAGCAACGTTTTAATAACACGGAATATCTATGTAAACAAGATATAATTACTGCGAAAGAAAAAGCATTACGCAATATGTTTAATTAATAAAATTGTTAACTTTATATATCGTGGCAACCATAATATGATGGAAGAGGACAGACTATTACAAGTTATTATAATATTGAATATAGCCAATAATTGTTGTGCTGACTTATGATAGGTACCTATTGAAATAATTCAATCATATTATTCGTTCTAAGATATGTATATAGATTACATAAGGTTCTTTATTACCGAAACGGTTATGTCCTCTTATAACTCTCGGTAATGTAAGCTATGAAATAACGAGTCGGTATAACAAACCGCTTATATTGTGTTCGGTGGCAACGTAATGGATTTGTGCGTGGCATAAAATATGACAAACATTATTAAAATAATGAAACTCGTAATAATATCGATACCAACATTACCTGCAACACCAAATGATCGGCTGTCGTAAATAATAGTGTGACGGTAGCTCGTATAACATGAAGGCCGTAGGGTAACCATTTAGGGGTGTACAGAGTGGATAAAAAACTCTTATACCCAGAGCGATGGACATACAAATAATATTCAAATTATTTTCATTTCTGTTTCTTGTGCAGGTGCTACGGGTAACGACAACGATTGCAGGACGACGATAGCCTGCGGCATCGGTGGTTCGGAACCTTTGGCTAGTCCAGCTTTTTGCTCAAAACCCGAAGACGAAATGGAAAAATTATCGCACAAGACGAGCTCTTCACTGGGCGTGGTAAGTGTTTTATTTTTATTATTCGTAAAATAATGGTTTGCCTAACCTAACCTAACTATTATATGAGTAAATTACCCTTTAAAACTAAACATTTACAAGATTATGGTAGTGAACCGTGTTCGAGGCTTACTTAACAATTTATTGCAGTTCTTATTTTACTTATTTTGTATACTTTAAAGTATATTTACATTATACAAATATTTAAATGCCTTCTGAGTGTGTTTTCCTCAATGAGTATATTGTTCGATCATATCATATTATCAACGCCTAAGATTTTTCCATGGCAGTGATAGAAATTTTCTATAATAACGATTTATTAATTTTGTTGGTGTGATTATTAATATAACACGCAAAAAGTAAATTAGATTAGAGGAGGTATAAGGAAGTCAATCATCAACACGTTTGTTAGATGTGTACACGAGTGACTCTTGGTTGTATCAACAATACTTACCGAAGGTTAAACATATTATGTAAAACGGGATGAGATTTATAGCGTTTGAAAATACTTTAGATCGTATTTATCATTATGAGTGTTTTCGCGTTTAATCCGTACGATTTCCACTCGGTGTTCAAATTGTTCCTCATCAGTTTGAGGAGAAAAGTCTGAAAACGTTCCATGGTCAGGGTGAGTTATATCGCGAATTATTTTTAATGCGGATGGGCCTCTATAATCTCTTTACGGTTAATGAATAGGACGTCGTAATATAGTGACACTTAAGATTCGTTAAATTCTTTAGATAAATCGTGGATCTAGGAAATTAGGATCCAGTTGTTTATTTCATACGATGAATCTTATTTTTTTAAATATCTAAGAAATTGAACAAATGGCCATTTTTCAATATTCATTGGAAAACCTATAGGGAAAATGACACACGGCTATTGAATTTAACCTACATACCTATATGTTTGTCAAAATATGTTTTTCACATTTTGAATATACCTACTTTTTCAATTTTGGTCGCTTCCAAATTTAAGCTCATCGTATATTCGCTCTACAGTATATAGTAATTAGGTACGGTATCAAAGTTTACTTATCCATAAAGTATTTATTAATTATAAATATACAAACATTATAACACCAGCTGTGCCGCGTGGCTTTCTTTGATATTAATACAAGTCATTAGTTTAATTACAAATATTTTCAAACGCTTACTTAGAACGACATTAAAATAAAATTATTTTTTTTTTAAACCTTTACACTGGTTCAAAGTCATGATGATCTCATTTTTAAATTAAATCTACACCAACTGTGTAYTTGCCTACGCCTGAGTGAAATTATACGGTTTGTGAGACAAAGAAGACGAACGCGCGGCTATTATATACTTTTTCCGTAGCTGATTCTCGCACTTCACACGCGCTTGCCGTTTTTTATTTCTTTCAGTACTTTTACTAAACGTGAATTTTAAACAATGCAAAGTATAAGTTGATACGACCAAACGCCGTAGTGTGCTATCTTCCCTTTTGATTTCCCCTCGCAATATATACGATTTTACGTGTTTACGACTACGTCGTCGCCGTTTATCTTGTTTTGCACAGGACTTATCGTGTTTAATTCTGCTGGATTTCGCTCRAGTTGACTACGGCAAGGACCGATTAATTTATTTTTTATATTAATGTGCGCGCTCTGTGCAACTTGAGCATTTTCGAAGGCTTTTAATATTTTTTTTTTCTCCTCGTGAAACAAAATCAACACAACTTTCAAGGTTTCCTATCTCGCATCCGCGAATCCACTTACTTGAATTTATATTATATATATACAGGTGCGCGCCCACTCGCTCTATACGCTAACTTTTGTACATTTCATTATTTTACGATTGTGAGATTATTGCTGCAGCGAAGAAACTCGCGGTGTATAGCACCGCCAGCGGTGGTCCCAACAAAATGTTTCGAATTACTAAATTATTATAGTTTCCTCGTCTCTGCGATGTTGCTATATACGTATAATAATAATATATATAAAAATATTATGCCACGGCTGAACCAGAAATCCGCGGTCGTATATTTAGTTTAATCGTAGCTGGCACCACCGTTCATTTCACTATAACTACTACCACTACCTCCACTGTCCCTTATTTCTTTATCGTGGTTCTTTAATTCTCTCGGTAAACTCCGAGATACCGTCTTATGAATAATAATAATAATAAACGTTTAGACTATATTTATGTATGCATTATGTTATTAACTTGCGCGCGTTTAAACTCCGTTAACGAGAACAGCAATTCCAACGCGTCCAATATATTATAGTCGTTACACGATTACGCTTAAAAAACTGGTACATACCTATTAATAAGTATCGTGGGTTCGAGCGTCTCCAAGTTATACTGAGCGAATTTCCTTATTTAATTTTATCGCAGTACATTCGTATCCATGCACAGATATACGACTTTATTTTTCACTATATAGGATGAAAATATTTTTGAATCCTGTAAAACAGTAGATATAGCATCTGTCACTGTAGACGCACACGCACTTAAGACACATATCATAAAGTTAACGAAAATAATGAMAGATCGTTTACAACAGTCTTTATGGAAGAATGTAAAGCTGGAACGCATGTAGCCCCGCTGAAGTAGCGTATAACAGATACAATAATCACAAATCGTAACATCCCTCGTGCATCAAACGTTTCGCAAATTAATGATCGATTCGTTTCGTTAGCTCTAATTAATAATGATCAACTCGTGAAGCGTTTCACGACACGAATCCGTGACAACGTGTCTCAAGTATACGAAAAAGATTTTAGCGAAAATAAGGCAGATTTGGAGCTCAAACTAAATAAAAGTGTGTATAAATTACTGCAGTAGTCATTACTTCTAAAAATAATATTGTCTGCCGCCGTTGCGCAGCCACGACGATTATAACTTATCAGACTTATATAGACTATATATAGTGTCTGTTTTTGTTCGTCGTCGTTAGACCGAGAGTGATTTTAAGTTCGTAATCTTCGTTATGGAAGAAATTTTCAATTTCGGCTCTTGTGAATTTAGGTTTTTTTCAAGTAAACAAAATTTTGTCTTGTATATGCGTTATTGCTTTGAAGAATCGTTCGTCATGCTATATTTCCGAAAACGAATCTGCACATTGCGTACGCAATCATGGGTGTCTCCGGACATTTTTCGTGAGGGGGAAATTAATTTTAAATGAAAATGAAAATTCTTTTATACATTTAATGCGTACATTTTAAAAGTAATCTATGTTTACTAAATTTACGCGTTACAGATAATGCCTTAAAAAACAAATTTAAAATTATAGGGGGGGGGGGTGAATGCCTCGTCTTACCCCCTTGAGAACGTACATGGCCCATGTATGCAATTATGTATATTCTATAGTACACATACCAGTGTCTATTAATATGACAACCTTCGATTTTCTTCATTCACAGGCTAGAAGCGATTCCATGGCGTCTGTTTACTCTGGTGCCGGAGAGGGCAGGTACGGTATGGTACCTATCAGAGGTGAGGTGGAGTTTGGTCTTCAGTACAACTATAAAGCAGCACAGTTCGAGATCAATGTCAAACATTGTCGCGACCTGGCAGCTGCCGATCCCAAACGAAACAGATCTGACCCGTAAGTACGATGACCATATTATAAAGTGTATTCTGCAGTTCAGGAAATACGATAGTCGTCATATTTACGGTCCCGGCCTAGTTTTGATTTTAATAATGTAAAACAACTTTCCTTTACAAGAGAAACTATTAATGTCTCGTGAACTAATCACTTCTGCGCCAGTAACTTAAATTTGTCTGAATCTTCGTCCCTTAATAAATAACAGACTCCGACAGTCTTAATACTAATATTTATATGAGTCTTATACAACGTGTATTATCAAAATAAATCGTTTTTAAATATTATAATGTGTATAGTCGTATTGCGCGTTATCAATTTAGATTTTTTTTTTGTATTGAACCTGAGAAGTTTTTATTAAAAGTTAGGTTTGATTAAAAAAAGTCTAATTTTGAGAAACAATATTAGTAACCGTTGTATTCATCGTTGTTTCTTGTTTAGCTACGTAAAAGTGTACCTATTGCCTGACAAATCTAAGGCTGGCAAAAGAAAGACTCGAGTGAAGAAACATACAATGAACCCAATATTTGATGAGGTGCTCAAATACAGTCTACCTTTGGAAGAGCTCAACAATAGAACACTATGGTTAAGCGTGTGGCACTCGGACATGTTCGGACGCAACAACTTCTTAGGCGAGGTCCAACTTCCTCTGGAGAATATGATATTTGATGATCCATCACCAAAGCTCTACCCACTTCAGGAACGAGTTAGTATTATTTTATGAAAATATATGACCAAACGAAGGACCTATGTCTAACGAGTGCGATTTTGTATTTATAGATAGAACCTTTAGATGATACTATGTGTGTCAGTAACAAAGGCGAAATTATCGTCGGCCTGAAGTGTGTGCCACCCGACCCAAACTCAAAAAAACGTACCAAGGGCACATTCCTTCTGCTAGTGAAAGACGCAAAAAACCTTCAAGCGATCAAGTCTAACGGTTCATCTGATCCGTTTTGCAAAAGGTGAGTCAATTTTTTAAATGATCGAAACGATACAATTAATATAAAATATAACAATACATATTTTTTATTAACTGTTTTAAACAATTTAATTTATGCTAATCTATTTTTACCCAATTTTCCAGTTATTTATTACCCGACAAGGGTCGTAGTTCCAAGCAGAAGACCAACGTGGCCCGGAAGACGTGCAACCCGAACTGGAACCAAACGCTTACGTACCGAGACGTATCTCTAGAAGAATTGGCGGAACGGAGTCTGGAACTGACTGTTTGGGACCACGATCGTTTGGGTAGCAATGAGTTCTTGGGAGGTGTCCGACTATCATTGGGCTCTGGTAATTTAATTTTTAATTGACGAGTAACCATTTTTAAAAAATAAAAAATCCGAATAATTTAGTTAAAACCGTAGTCTCGACGATAGTGATGTATTAACAAATACAGTAGGTAAAATCCACGCAGAAATGTGTTGTCGTTTTGTGACAAACCGTAGAGTCGGGGAAGGRGGGATGCCGTACCAATCATCAACCCAATCCGACGTCTAACTTTTTTTTTGTGACGATAATGACATCTTGAGTTGAATGTTGTAATCACGTATAACGCAGTTTTGAAACGTAAGCACGACCTCTTTCTCCTCTCTCTCACTCACTCCGTTATAATGGCAATAATAATAATTATTATCATCGGTGTTTTCCGGCCACGATATCACAATTCACAGTGTATTAGGACGTACACACCGTAATAATGACAATGATAATTTTCAATTGCCGAGTCGGAGTGGGCGTCGATGACGAGCACGTAGTATACAATAATTATCAATTGGAGAGGACGTCGCATCACACGAAGATCAAAAACCCTATATGCGTGATTTAAACGCACCACTGTCCACTGTATACACGTCCATAAAGCAATACCCGGACAAATACTTTTTTTTATCGTACTTAATATAGGTACCTACCTAACACGAAGAACTGTATTGTGGCGATTAGTGTTAATAAAACGATTTAATCAGTGGTGTATTTATTTTTATGAGAGGAAGATTCCCAGGGAGTTAATTTTATTCCTATACCCAGGCTTTATATTATTATATTATTTTCTTGAACTTACGGAAAACAATAACGCGATGATAAAAAATGTTTTTTATTCATCTAAGAATATTTATTTTCATGTTGTAGATGAAGTATGCCACATAAATTAATATTAATGTATGGGTATAATGGGTATATATTGTAAAATAACTTCACTATATCTGTTATTTTCTACTAAATTTTCAATCCATTTGTAAACACATCACAATAGTGTTATTTTACTTGTGCGTTGTGTGATCAGCCGTATATTTGGGTGAATGTAAACTCTTACACGAGTACCTATAATATAATATAATAAGCTAAAGTAATTTATCCCCTTTTGAAAATGGCACGCTTTCTTTATGATAATATGATTATTAATTTTAGCCTAATATAGTTGTAAAAATATATTTTGTTTCATTTTACAAATATAAAACAACTTGTAAATAACTCCATAGTCTAGTTTATAAATTGGTAACAGATTTTTCGATTGTCATTAATGGGTAAACTGTAAACTAACATTTTAATATTTGTGCTTTAGAGTCATTTTTTTAATTCATATCAAAAAACCTCATCAGCTGAGGACCTGAAATGAGAAAAATTGTTCGTTGCAATTTAACTTACGAATTCGGAATATTATGATATTTATTTATATTTATGAGAAACCATATCAATACACACACACACATATAAATATTATTATCTAAATAAATATCTCGTGTAGAACCTTTTTAGTTATGTTGTTGTACATCACGTTTTTACCATTCCCTCATTTGTACATATTTATTATCATAATAATCATTCATTTATTGTTATTAGTCCTTCATTGTGATTACGCCTTTTACAATTATTTCTTATAACTATAACTTAAACCTCACCCCCACCTATTAATGTGCATTATGCAATTTCTAATGCTCATAACGAATTTACAGGTTTAAGTTTAACAATATTCTATAAAGTGGTTCTATTATATATTAAAAATACTGAAATACTTACCAATGCCGTGTATGTTAATTAAAAAAATAAAATAATTGTTTTTTTAGGTATGTGTGACGGTAAACCAGTCGACTGGATGGATTCCAATGAAAAAGAAATTGCCTTATGGCAAAGGATGTTGGACAGGCCAAACTTTTGGGTCGAAGGTTGCCTGACGTTGCGACCGTCGCTGGAGTTAGCGAGCAAAAATTAAAACTAATATCCATTTATTTTTTATACACACAAAAATCAATTATTTTATTCTTCAGACGTATATGTATATGTCTTCGTATATTTGTTTTATTATTATTATTCAACTCCGTGATGTGTGTACATTATATCAGTATCATCATTAATGATCTTATCATTATCATTATTATGATATAGTATTATGTAGGTACCTACTCACCGATGGAGAAGTTGCTCTTTGATTTTATTTTTATTATTTCTATTTTTTTCTATTTTTTTTATTTTTATTTTTTTTGTTTTGTTGTTTTTATATAAACGCTAAGAATATCTGTGATCTGATAATATTTCGATCGTGTAACAAGCGAAGATTTTATAATAATTATAATGTTTCGGTCTTCCATTCGAATTTTGTTCGCATCATATTAATATTACTATCATCATTTTTATTATTATATAATACATATTATTATAAAGTCTTAATATTTACGTGTTTTTAACGTGTACGCGAATAATATTTGTGCGTTTTATGTGCATCTCATCGTATTATTTATTTCTTGATAAATGTGCAGTATTTTTTATTTTATTTTACGAATTAAGTACTATTATTATTGTAACTTAAAGTATATAGAATTAAGTTTATATTAGTGTATAGTTTATGTACAATTTGTCGGATCGTAGAGCAAAATAGAAAATGGGTCGGGGAGAGTACTCTTCGGAGATTATCCTAAAAATAATATGCATCTCGTTCATTTRAAATGACGAACATGTATGAAACTTTGCATATAAGTAGCCAAAATATGTTTCTATCGAAAACCATTTAATGAACTTATGAGTGCTGTAAACATATTGCTGAAAAAAATAATATAATATGTACTTATTATTGTCTTATTATACGATGTGTACTGTAAAGTTCATTATTTTTTGTATTTAATATTTTGTTTTTATTATCATTTAAACCTGCACACATCAGTGTCATACTATCTCTGTGTCAATGACTTTGTATGTGTTAGGTGTGTTATATATATTTTTTAAATTCAATATCGTATATAAATATAAATACAACACAATTGCGCGCATTGAGTTGAAAAATAAGTCAAGTACAAAAAAGGAAAAAAAATTAAATGAATAATAATCATTTTTTTTTTCCATATATATGCATGGTAAAAAAAGGTTAAAATTTAAAATTCCTAGTAAGTTTTCTAAAGCACTGGGAAGAATTAAAGAAAAAAAGCAGATAAGTAGCTGATGTCGCTCGCTCTACTGTACAGTATAGTTTACAAGTGGCTTACTGTAATAGATGGTATTAAATTTGAATTAATTGATGTAATATCATTGTATACGAAAAACGATTCTGAGCGGAGACGGTTTGCCAGTCTAGGATATTTTTTAGTTTTATACTTTATTAATTATATTGTTATTATTTCAAAAAAAAATTTGGTGCCTATATTACAATAAATTCCAAATTAATCAAATGAGATTCATTATGTATACCCGACTTACTCAGTCGTTCATAGTAGCTATACATAATTGATTGTAGAATGTCAACTTGCACAGAAGGCTAGTATTAATATAAATCATTAACGACATAAACTATTTTTTTGTTTTTCCTAGTGCTTCTGAAAAACTGCTGGAAAATTCAAAATTTGACCTCCCCAATGCACTTACTAGATTTATTTTCCTACCAGAAATGCTACCGAAGTTAAAAATCGAAAAATTATTTTAACAATTTATCGTGTACATCGACAAAAAAACACACACACACAACATTGTAAAATCAATGCATTCATCACTCCGCTCGGAATCTAATTTAAGAACTTTTACGAAAAATAGGTTTTCGTTAAAATCAATTTTCATTTTTGCTGTAATTCTTTAAAAAATTAACGTAGGTAGATGAAAAATGTTCGATAAAATGTTGATTCATGTTGAACTATTTACATATCATATGACATTTTCGGTTTTATTATTTTTTTATTCATCTCGATGAGAAATATAACACTCTTATATCCGGTCAAAAAAATTTTAAATGAAATACAAATTTCCACATTAGTTGTTGAATGTGGAAATTTAAAAAAAAAATTGAGCTCATATTCTCAGTAAATTGTATGAAGTTAACATTTTTACAACATTGGATATTCACTAATTTATAATTTCTCATGGATCAATTTTCTATTTATGTTGCAATTAATTAAATAATAACCGTAAATACTTGAAATTTACACAATATATGTTTGTTTTATTATCAAGTATATCCTATACTTTCAAAATAGTTTGACTCGTTTTGAACAATTTATAGACATTTGAGATTTTACAGTTTTTCTTCCTATAAATATCAATTAAATTTTATTCGTTAGATCAAAAAGCTTAAAGTTGTATATAAGGTTCCTAATATATTGTTACAATGTCAGTTAAAAAAGATTAATTAATATACATGGGCACAATTTTTTTTATAAGCATTAAAATTAAAATTTTAACAACATTTTCGCAGTAAATATTTCACTGTCACAAACGCAGATAACGATTTATGATAAAACTAAATTTAAACATCAACAAAAAATAAAAAAAAATGCATTATTTAAGAGTTTAACTCTACCACTAAAAATAGGTAACCGGTCAATTCGGAAAATGGATATACCGGCGAACGGTTCTATCGGCTAATGGAGGTATCGACGAACGAATATATCGACGAATGGATTGGCGAAACCACAAAACGTAACCGGAAATTTAAATTCCACTTAATTAATTCAATAATTTAGTCAATAAAAATAATTTATAATACTAAAAATTTTAAAGTCAATATTGTATGCCAAACTTTTTCAGTATGATATTATGTCTTGGTTTGAATAATTTTCCACCTTCGTTTTTATATTTTCTGTGGTTCTTTTCCATTTTAATTTCTGCTTTTCTTCTTTGCCAACCTCAACGTGTGCCACTTTTAATTTAGCTAGTCCGACCTCCCTTTGTAGACTTTCAATCATTTTCCAAATTGATACATGATGACCACCAACTTGCTTTTGAAAGCCATTATGCCATCCTTCCAAGTTCCAAACCATTATTGGTACGAGCTAGTGATACGTATATTTAAATATTTGTGTTTAATGTAATTTCGCCAATACATCTATTCGCCGAAAAATTTTCACCGAGATGTCCTAAAACCATAAAAATAAAATCACGACCCACAGTTTGGGAAACTCTGCCCTACGTTATATCAGTTAGGGGTCTCCAACCTTTTTCACTGTGGGTCAAATTTGTGATACSCATGGGTAGGTATTAAACATTCATAAGAATTATATTTAGTAATTAATGTATTTTAAAGACTTCAATTATCTTAAAGTGCTATAAGATAAGTTATCATCATACCCGTATAAATAATAATATTATATATCTACGAATGGGAAGGGGTGGGTGGTCAAAAAAATGTAACCACAGGTCCACAGCTGTTAATAACAGTCTGCAGCGTACCTATGTTTATGAATTCAAGTTTTATGGTATCCACTCTTCCTTCACCACTCCAGAAACAAAAAACCAGATTTCAAATAGCCTACACAATGCCCTTTACATTGGTTGAACTGATAATACCTACTGCAGTGGCAGCGCCAGGAATTTTTCCCAGGGTGTGCCAAAGAGAGGCCAACATATATTTGAGCAAGCGCAGKTGTTTGGACGTATGGTTGTATGATAGTCGAATAAACGGGGGGACAGACTGATTGGACTTCGGAGTGTAAGTAACGACTAACGAATAACGAACGTACGTTTCCCCAGCCCCCCCCCCACTTTTATATTATAACAATTTTTTTATGCAATTATTTAGCATGCAAATAGCATGAATTTGCATGACTATTTTTGTAATTTGCACGATTTTAGATTGTGCGTAAAATCTAAAAATATCCATGGGGGGCTGAAGAAATATTTCACCAGCCCCGCCAAACATAAAAAAGGCAAATCAGAATTAATTCCTGTGCCAATATTTAGCACGTAATTAGCATAAATTTGCACGACTAGACCCGGAATTCGCACGTCACTCCCCCGCCCTACAAATCKCATTTTCCCAGAGTATCAAATCATAATCATTTAATATAGTTATATAATGTGTATTAAATTTATCATTTATGATGCTTCATGTTTTACGTTGCTTTTTGAAGTATGATAAGAATTGATATTATTTTAGAAATAGCTATTAATTTCTACTATAGTGCAAAATTGTATAATTTAATAATTTACATTTACATTTTGTCTTTTCTATATTGAATTTGAAAATTCCGAAATTGTTTATTCTGTTTAAATACCTAACAATGAATTTTTATATAACATAGAACATCATGTTAATTTATATTTGATCCTTTATATTTCATATTATTCATAGTGTTCATACACATTACATTTTGCAATGGCTTAATATCAAGGACATCCTTTACATAATAATATAATATGGTTTAATACTATAATATAACACAATATAATATATTATGATATGAATATCTGAATATCTGAATATAATATTATGATACATTTTTATAATTTAACAGTAGATACCAAAACCATCGCATTGCTTATTTAGGAAGGTCCCTAAAGTCAGTGGAAGTTTTTTGAGAAATCGCTATTAATTTCTACTATAGGGAAAAATTGTATGATTCAATTAGTGATATATAATTACACAAAAATAATAATATTAGTGCAGTAACGAAACAGCTGTCACATTAAAAAACTCCAATGAAACGTCATTCCTGTAGAATAAAATATAAAATAAGTAATAATCATCTAAGTAAAATATTATAGTTATAATTTGAATTAACTATATGAGGTTATAGTGACTTGTACATCATTTTATTGTTTAATATTTTTTTTTATCTATCTTATGAAAATTTTTAAAATATTAATCCTATTCTTATTTATTTTTAAATATCTAAAATAATTATAAAAGTTAAGATAATCAATATAATATAAGGTACAACAAATTAATAAAATTGTCAAACTGTATAAACCAAAAATTCACACATTATTGTTGTTGTGTCCTTAACTGGAACTGGTTTTTTTTTCATGTCATCGAAAAGTTCCCATTGACGACCACTACTTCTTTTTACATATGCTGTATAGTGTCCAATTGAAGTCCTTAAACCACTCTTGCCACGATGAAAACAGACAGCAACGCGAAGTTCATAATTCGTTGTTCCGTGAATCAATAATAGCGGAATGTCACAGAATTTAATTTTTAACAAATTAGCTGCTTCACTGCTCCTTTGAGTAGATATAATATTTGCTCCTAAAAATTATATTTAAACGATTTGTGAGTATCATTACATGAAAGTCAATTATGTTTGTATACAACTGATTACCTTCCCAGATTAAAACGTCTATAAATAAATGCATATGCGATAAATTTAGTGTAACATTMTTATTTCCAGAACAAAGTGGAAAGCAGTTCYGATCGTGTATTCTGGCTGTGCGATCATTAATAAATTGTTGTAGATTACTAATATTATTTTTGAAATCAATTTGATATGTCAAATATATGAATTTCCGTTCAAAGCTTTGTTTACAAATCTTAGAAGAACATGTTTCATATTCTTTTAAG